AAAATAAGCAATTAAGTTAAAATGCACTTTCATATCGGAGGATTAAATAACAATATAATAGCCAGTTATTGATCTTGTACCTCTCCGTCTCTAGTCTCAACTGTCTTGATCACCACACTCTTCTTGCTTGGGGTGTCTTGAGTTTGATCATAGTCTGTTATAAATCAGAGATTTTTACATTCGGGAACATTTGCAATTACAAAATAGAAACTTTTCTGAATACCTTTTTAAAAGATTAACCTGTCGGAAGTATCAGTTGTGATTGATCAGTGTTAAGTTGTTTAGTGAAAATGATCAACTATATATTTAAAATGTTTTGTTATATTTGCAATGTTATATTTTTGAAAAAATAGTATTATAGCTTACCTCGCTCACTACGGTGACTGCTCATGCTCATATTGAAGCTGGGAACAGTAATCCTAAACAGGAAATACAAAATATGTGTGTTAAACAATTCATTTGTTTTGAAAAATCATTGTATTTAGTTGATTTAAACCTGCATATCAATTATCTTAGGTTGTTCATTGACATAGCCTAAAGACAATAATAAAACAAAACAGTCACTTTTTTGGCATGACCTTAACATTGGGCCCATATGATGAGTTTAGTTCCTATTACTAAGAGAGGAATCAAAAGTGGTCAAAGAAAGAAATTAAAACAGCATATATTTTAACCCGAGACACCAAATTCTCACCTGCTCTCCTCCCCCTCCAACAGTTTACGGTAAGTAGCGATCTCAATGTCCAGAGCCATTTTGACATTGAGGAGGTCCTGGTACTCCCGGAGGTGGCGAGCCATTTCATCCTTCAGGTGGTGGATCTCATCCTCCAGTCTGCCGACGTTGTCCTGGTAGTTGCCGACCTCATTGCCAAACTGATCCTCCATTTCACGCATCTGCCTCAGCAGAGATTCATTCTGAAAAACACAGCAGTACACACAGTGGGTTAAGAGGGAGAAATGTGTTTAATGATAGATACAAATACACAAATGGTGTTTGGCCTCACAGTGTTCTTCAATGCATCAACTTCACAGTTGAGTGACTGAATCTGCCTCCTGGATTCATTGGCCTCCTGCTTGGCCTGCCTCAGAGAATCAGTGTTGCGCTTTGCAGAATCAGTCAGATCATTGAACTGCAGAAACAGAAAATAAAGCACTCAATAAACATTATGAGCTTGCATGTTTATGTGTGATTGTCAGTGTCTGTCTGCCTACCTTGGACTTGTACCAGTCCTCAGATTCCTGCATGTTCTTGGAGGCAATGGTCTCATATTGGGCCCTGATGTCCCTCAGAGCACCAGTAAGGTCAGGCCTGGCGGTGCTTTCCACCTCCATCTTCAGATGCTGGGTCTGGACACTCACTTGAACGTCCTGGATTTCCTAATAAAACCAAGATGTACAACATATTGTCAGGAACACAACATTCGTATATCAACAATTAAAAAAAAAAGCCAGTTTATCCAAGTACACCTCATAGGTATCCTCCAGGGTTCAGTTTTGGGACCCCTACTTTTTCTACACAAGGACATTTTGTTAAGATAATCTTGTCTTCCAGATATTTATGCCTGTTCCTGTAGACAAGCTCTTACAGACCGATATTCATTTCATCATCAAAGCAAATGCAGACTAAAGTTCCACACTTGAATATCTGAATTGAAAACGTTTTGGTGTTTACGCTCTTAACATTTTGCTTATAGGTGTCAAAAGTGCCAGTGGTATAGACCTACTCATTTAACATAACAAAAGATAAACATCCTATTTAAATGTAAACATGCAAAAAAATAGGGCTATCATTATTGGTCTCTAGATAATATACTGTGACCTGTGACTCCTGTAAAGATAACTTTCAAATTGAGCATCACTCACCTCATCATGGAGCTTCTTAAGGAATTCAATCTCATCCATCAGAGACTCAATCTTCCTCTCCAGCTCCAGACGGGACAATGTGGCATCGTCCACATCCTGTTTTAAAAAAATATATGAAACAAACATAATTTGTATTGCCATTACTGAAATGTCATTCATTGATCCAACAACTCATAATGATAAACATACTCAATAAAACATGATATTAAAGTCCCTCAAGGAATACATTTAAAAACCCAGAAATAATTAGTTCTGTGCATAGAAACATTTTGAGGTATGATGTGCTACAAACAAATCCTTTAAAGAAATTCGCCAAAAATTCAATTCCAGGTTTTAATTCCTAAGGATTTGTCTATGCTCAATTAACCTAAAGATAAGAGATGAGGCCTCAGAGGTAAAACATTTCGATACAAAAGGACCAAGCAAAAAATGAATTTGTTTTTATGTGCAGCAGGTTCCTGTCATTTAAATATGCCCTGTCATTCTACAGTGTCACTATTGTGTAATAGTTGGAGATCGAGCTGTCCATTTGACCTGTTATCTGAGCCTGAGGACACAAATCAATAAGGTTACATGGTGCAGTGACCTGAGCATTTACCTTGCGGAAGGCAACCAGGTTACCCTCAGCATCTGCCCTCTTCTGGGCTTCTTCATCCATCCTTGAGGACAAAAGAGAAAGACAAAATGTTTCAAACAATGGTTGCTCCGGGGCATCAGCTGGCAAAAAGCTTTCTGGATCAATTTGGTAATTCCCTGTCCTGTAAAAAGGTTTTTGGAGTGCACCCAGTGGGAACAGCAGCTGCTCCTTTCAGTTAATGTGTCTTTGCAGTTCAATAAGGTCATCTCCACACACGTAATAAGGTTACACACTCTTTCCATCTCTTTTAACGATTTAAATTGTCAATATTGACTAGTAAACTGTATGATGGGACAAAAATGGTGGAGTAAAAATCATTTGAGTGAGACATTTGTGGACAGTCAAAATGCCATTTGATGCTCCTGCAAAAACAAACTTAATGAAATGAAAACAAAGTATTGTTGAATGCTAAAGCAAATCCAGTTTCAATCCTTGAGTCCTGTAATGAATCATCACAAATTGCATCACATTGTACAGTACCAACATCCCCTTTCTCTGACTGATGGGCTCCATCTGTCCTGTCAGACAGATGCCATGTCTGGAGTGGACATAAAGTAGATTAGTGGGGAAAGCATCACATAGTAGGCCTGGCTCCCTCATCTTTAATTCATGTAGTTTTACAGGGGCCCTTTTCCTAATGGGGTCTCTGGCACCATCCCATAAGCACAAAGGGCCACTGAAAAATACACCTAATGGAGTCACATTGATTTTTCCTAGCGCTGTTCTTACCATGCCTGATATCCAACCTCTCTTCCTCCTCTCTCTCTCTCCCCCTCCCACTCCTCAGCCGGCCCCACCCTGTGTCCATCTATTCTCTTTTCAGTCATTTGTTTGTACATACACAATGTCAATATAATTATTAAAGGGAACACAGTCCTTTATCTAACTGGGCAACAAGTACTGTTGATTTTCCTGTGGGTTACTTTTCTGTCACATTTCAAGGCTCTTCTTCTTGATGAATCCTGCTAGTGCACAAGTGATTCATTTAACTCTCGTACATAGAAAACACTCTCATGCGCATGATGCAGTCCAGTGTCCTGTATCATGCAGCCACTCTGTGGTGTCCAGTCTGCAAATGTGCCACGCCCTGCACCACCATCATTTCTTAAGTGACAAACGCCCAAGGACGCTCCACCTTCTCTGCTTAAAGTAAATCATGAGCAGTGCATTTTAACAGCGTCAATTAACTAAGTGATGGTGACACTGCCGGAATCGACAAAAGATCTGCACACCGTTTTGGAGCTCAGAGTATTTTTATCTGTGCAAAATTTTCCCTTTTTTTTTAAATTCTAAAATGTTGATCTGACAGAGATCTTTGTCTGATTATTGGTCAAATCCAAGAGACAATGCTTGGCGAAAACTTGTATTTTTTTATCCAGCATCGTTAAAGTTGGATCTATGGTGACACAGAAGAGCACCAATGGTACTAAATGTATGACGGACAACCCTTGAATAGGAGAACATTTAAGTTAAGAGATACCTTTGACTTGGTAGGGACAATATCATGTATTAGAATAGGATGCAACTTTCTCTGTAGCCAAATGTATTCCCTCTATCGGTCTATCGGTCTATCTATCTATCTATCTATCTATCTATCTATCTATACTTTATCATATGGTTCTTTCTCATCTTGTTGGTACCAACCTCTGCCTGAGCTGGGCCAGGTCCTCAGCCAGGTTGTCCCTCTCCATCAGGTACTGGTCCCTCTCTTTGCCGGTGGCATCCAGTTGGCGGCGCAGGTCCCTCACCTCCTCCTGGAAGAGCTCGGAGGCTCGGTTGGGCTGACCTTGCTGCTGCTGGCCCTTGAACACGTTGAGCTCCTGCTGCAGTGAGCCATTCTGCTGCTCCAGGTAACGCACCTTATCGATGAAGCTGGCAAAGCGGTCGTTGAGCTCCTGCAGCTCGGCCTTCTCGTTGTTGCGGGTCGTCAGGAACTCCGCGTTGATGGCCTCAGACAAGGTGAAGTCCACCTTTTCATAGGAGATGCGAGGGGGCTGGGAGACGGTGCGAGAGCGCTGTTGGTGGTAGTTGTTGGGGCGGGATGTAACCCCAGGTGACATTGAACGCATATAGCGCCCTCCAGAAGCGGGCATACGAGAGTTCACAGGGGAGTAAGAGGACATGGAGATGGGGTGTGGGCTCCCAAAGGTACGCCTGTAGGACGTTGAGGTATGCATCGAAGAGTGGCTCATGGCTGGTCTTGTTCTGTGGCTGCAGGAAGAAGGAGAACTGGAGGCTTGGAGATGCTCTGGAAGCAACAGGACATCAGACTGTAGAGTGCTGCGGGTATTTATGCACACAGGCAAGCTATCCCATCATCCTCATCCCCCCCCCGTCCTCATTTCTCCTCACCCCACCCACATGAAGCCTTGCTTTCTCAATCAGCATTGGCCACTCCCTACCCTTCAGAGATAGACCCTGCCTTTCTCTGTCTTACGCTCTGTCTTGACAGCTCCACCCTTTTAACCAGAGATTTGGCAGGAGACCAAACTCACTTCCACATTATGCCGCCTTGATATCTAAAGATGTCTCCTCCATCCAGCCCCTCCCTGCCTCACTGAAATAACCTCGTTGACACTCAGTTTTGATTCTCATTTCTCAAAATGATTATATGCTCTTGCATGCACGAGTGTTCTCAACTTTACCATCACATCTGTGCCTTAACGATTGTGTTACCTGGTTCTCAATAAGAAACTGTGAAATCTTAGCCTAAATTGAATCACGTGGATACATTGATTTAATTATTTCCTCTCCTCCATCCGTCTCCTTCCTCTCCTCTCTGTCTCTCTCTCCTTTTACAGTAATGGAACACTTTATTGATATTCAGGGAGTCTGGGGCAGAGCCATGACTCTGCAGTTATTCTATCCCTTTCAAATGCACTTGATCCAGTAATCCCTGTTAGCAAAGTAGGAGTTGTCCAAGAACTTTGTCAGTATTTCAGGTTACAATGGGTTAAAAAAAGCTTTCTAAAACCATTTAGATCCTTCTACCATCCTATAGATTCAAATGTTGGAGAAAATGTCACATAAGTATTGGCGATGTAGAATGTGTGTGTGTGTGTGCGTGCGTGCGTGTGTGCGTGTGTGTGTGTGTGTGTGTGTGTGTGTGTGTGTGTGTGTGTGTGTGTGAGAGAGTGTGTGTCGCAACCTTTGGTCTAGTTTTAAAGATCCAGCATAATCGAATAAGAAGACTGCAGAAAATCAAAGTAAGACGAGAAAAAAAAGACTCGTAATGTCTTGCAAGACGTCCAAAAGAAGGAACCGAAAGAAAACACTGAAAAGAGTGTTATGTAACTTTGTCCTCAAGTAGCTTTTCCAAAAAAACCTTGGCTTGCCTCTTTACTACGACGACAGGGAATTTTCTCATGGAACAGATTAAACGGCACTCAAGCGGGTGACCAACCAGATGCATGATGGGTCCCAGCTTTTCCATCTCCCGCAAACTGTAGTAAAACACCTCAGTGCACTTTGAATATACTGCCTGAGGACAGCACACCACAGAGAAGCAGTGTGTCTCTACTTACAAACTGTACGCTGAAATGGAATAAAAATCACTTCTCCTTAAGGTCTCATAAGGTCTTTGTTCCATTTAGCTCGCATGTAAAGCCGTTTGGCCACCGTCTAAGCTCATAAGCTATTGGACTCCTGCCATTTTGGGTGCTTACGTGATGAATTACAGCGCGAACCAGCCCTAACCCTTTTATTTGATTTTGATTGTAACTCTGTCTGAAGCTGCTTTGCAAGTTTTTCTACTCTCTTAGTGAGAGCTCTGACTAAGTTTCCAAGAAAACAAACGACAGGATGGCTATAATAATTGTGGATGTGAGAGTGAATGATTTATTTACAGAACATCCTGTCGAATCTTCTGAAGAACAGGAAGTTGTAAAGCAAACTCAAGAAATGAAATTAAAAGTGGAATTCCTTTACATTTCAAAAACTTGTTCTGGATCTTTTTATATTATTACAAAGATAATCTTCCAGAGGCTTGAAATAAACGTTTACTGCATTTCTAAAGAGTATTCAAAGCTTTGACGGTAATATAGGAATTGTCGTTAAATTGCAGCACGGTTTTTGTCACAAATTCAGAAGGCCTGTGATTCAGACATGATGACAACTTTGCAAATGAGTCAGCCTTTCTAAAATCTCACTATAATTCAGGTGACAGTCTCACATTTGGTTTGACACTGATTCCTTGGGGAATATATGAAGTGTCCCAAGTGTCACGGCGTAGAAAATGTCGCAATTCGTCCTCACCTTGAATGATTAATTCCTGAGAAGTGTTTCACAAAAAAGGTTTAGAAAAGCACGGCTTATTGCCAAATGCCCGAGTCAGATGACTAAGTAACTGAAGCAGATGATTTAGCCGTTTCAAAAAGCCGGTTTAGTGCTAATGTGATCCGTCTAAGTCATAACCAATGCTCGAGTCTCGAGACCTCAAGCACAGAAAACGTCAATCTTCTATACTGTGAACTAAGGTGTGATCCTCATATAACATGATGAATAAAATTGTAAAGTGATCATATTGGCATATTTGAAGAAATAGAAAATCACCACGGGTAAGAGCCTGACTTTAATCTAGCTTCACACTCCTCAGTATCTCTTGTCGAACGCAGCCACTGGCACATTTCTAATATAACGTCATTTTATGATAAAAACTAAAATTGCCTATCTACCAAAATTGGAGTTTTGGGAAAATATCACCCTGGGTTTTTACAAAGAACATGGATAAAAGCCAAAAAATACCAGTGTGGATGAGGAAAAGGCTCGTTTGGACTCATGTCTGGCTATCTGTTGAATAAAAGCCCAATATTCTCACTTTTAGCTCTGTTTGGGTCCCCACCAGCACCTCAAATATTCCACTTTCTCTACCAGATCCGTTGCTAAGACAACATCGATGTGTGCAGCTCTAAAAAGAACACCGTAAAAAGACAATTGTTTAGTAACCCAGGGTAAATAATTCACGAGACAACAAATCACGTAGCTCCATAGTACAAATGGCTAAACAGAGATAATGTGTACACCGAACGCACAGAGTAGTCATTTGGGGAAAGGATTTGTAATTTGAGGGCTCAAACGACTGATTTGAGGGATACGATGCTGTTTTTATGCTCCAACAAGGATAGTAAGACTTCCCATCGACGTTTAACTTCCTAATTTAGTCTCTGTGGGAAAAGTTTACAGCAAAAGGTTAAGCGTTTAAACGTCACCTTGAACCTTCACACTCATTGCCCGATCAGGTCATCCAATCAAGTGTGTGTCGCTCTCCTCCAATAACACTCACACTCCCATGTACTGCCTAATTGCGCTCTCAAGGATAATGGCCCATTTGTTTGTTTGTGTGTGTGAGCGTCTGAGGATGTCACACAGGCGTGTTTCAATCGGCACATGTGTTTCTGTGTTTCTGCGTTTTTGCATGACCGGCTGTGAGGGTTTTTTGAAATGGCCTTTCCCTCAATCTGAATGTCAAGTGGATGAAGTGGATGTATGGCAGGTGTGATAACAGCTTGACTCTCGTGTCATTATCCCAGCCTGGCAGCGTCCGTCCACCACATGCCGCACACACACTCCTCGTGTGTTTTAAGTGTGTATGTGGCCACTTTCTTCTCAATGTGTGTTTTCATGACATTTAACCATGCGAGCTGCCTGTGATGATATTTAGAATTTCAACTCTGTGGCTTTGCTTAGTCGTTTTGCTTTTTTACCTGCAGATTTTACGTATTTTTACGAACCGAAACAACCGTCATAATTCTCATTTAGGCTGCGTAACCTGCGCAAATATTCAACTGTGCAATACTTATAACACTTATGTTTATTGTTAAGGATTATTACTGTGTTACACACTTGGAGCATTAATTTGGTTCTCATCATTAATACAATGTTTACACTTATACACCATGCTATTGCTATGTATACATGTATTCACACTGAATAGGCAAGGCAAGTTTATTTATAGAGCACCTTTCAACACAAGGCAATTCAAAGTGCTTCGCAAAAATAAAAGATATTAAGAAATAGAGCAATATAAATGGCATTTAAAAACCGTCATTAGAAAGCAAAGAGAATAAATTAAACATAACACAAGCTGATATATAATACTTGAATACATGTTACAGTGCAGTGTAATATATGATTAGTTCAATTAAAAGTGATTTGAATAAACGCATGTTGTATATAATTGATACTATACTGTTATTCGGTTTATTGTAGTACAATGTGTATATTTTTACTTACCTTCTTATGATAATATACATATTTGTATTCCATCTTTGTATTTTATTATATTATTCTAAATGGAGCAATGGTCATGAAACCTTATTTATCTCCCAGGATGAATAAACAAAATCAGATTCTGTTTCAGTAAAGGTTGAAAAATAGACAAAAATGCCTCAACCCGCAGACTTAAGAGAAAGTGAAAAGTGAGAAGAGGTGTTGGTAGGTAGGTGTTGAAGTGGGTCATCTAAACACAAGGCAATTTGAAAGCACATTACAAAAAAAAATGTTTGTATATACTATACTGTTATTCAATGTATTAAAATACAATGTGCACATTTTTACTTAAATTCTTATTATAATAGACATATTTTGGTAACATGTTATATTAAGGTCCACATGTTCACCATCAACTAGTTGTTAATTAACATGCATATGAGCAGTATATTGGCTCTTTATTAGTCATTATAAAACACTTATTAATGCCTTATTCTACATGACCGTATTCTACAAGTAATAAGCCATTAGTTGAGAGCTTTTCCTCAATAACCCTCGAATTAGTGCTTATTTATTGCGAGTAAGGAAGTTGTTGTTGTACATGAGTCTTAGTCAATCAATCAATCAATGTTTATTTATATAGCCCAATATCACACATGTTACATTTGTCTCAGTGGACTTCACAGTTTGTACAGAATATCAGTATGACACCTTCTGTCCTTAGACCCTCACATCGGACAAGGAAACACTTCCAGAGAAAACCCACAGTTTAAAGGGGAACATGGGAGAAACCTCAGGGAGAGCAACAGAGGAGGGATCCCTCTCCCAGGACGGACAGACGTGCAATAGATGCCGTGTGGAAATTGAAAAGATAATACATTTGCAACATAGGTAGTCCAAATGTTTGGAAATGCATGTGTGTATAATAGGAAGATGAATCCACGAGGATATCCATCCAGGACTTATGATCCAGGACCACAGCCACGGCTCAAGATCCAGGACTCGCAATCCATGACTCCGGATCCCGGCGTATATAGACA